CTTCAGGAAAAAAACATTGTCAACCACATTGAAAACAAGCAAAAGGTGCATCAGCAGGTGCTAGATTCAAACACCTCTCTCCCAAATCTGTATTTGTTAAAAAAAAAAAAAAATCTACATCGAAAACGATATTTGGTGTATACTTAATTAAAGCAAAAATAAGTTCAAAGGTGGAATGGAAAAATATGGGCAAATCTAATAGTAGTTGCTTGACAATATGAAAAAATGATGAATTTTATTCTTGCAAAATTGTTAGGTCAATTCCCCAAATGCAATATAAGGATTTTTTTTTTTTTTTAAAAAGAAGTTGACTAGGAAGCAATCATCAATCGTGTGAGGTCACGTATTTTTCGTGTTACATTAACTTAGGTATTAATTGAACATAACACACATGGTACAAAAGCTTAATTAGAACAAAAAATACCTCCAAAGTAGAATTGAGAAAAGTAATTAAGTTTAGAGATTTCACTAGGATTAATGTTCCTCAACAAAGATTAAAAATGCAATTTGGATATTAAAATTACTAAAGTATTTTTTATTAATGAGTTAACATGTGAGTAGAGTTTCATTAAGAGTACTTTATAAATTTATTATGTAGTTTGGACTAAAAAACACATTTTTGATATTAAAAATTTAAAGCCCTCCCCCAAAAAAGATAGAAACAAGAGGAAGGCATATAGAATAATTGATCAAAGTATTGGTAAAAAAAATGCTTTCTCCCCCATATGGTTAGGATTCGAACCTCTATTTTGTCCCTCACTACCCTTTTTCCTATAAGAGTTTCAATTAATTAGCATGTCCCATTAAAAAAAAAAAGAGAGCAATAATAAGTTAATAACATCTGTTTTCTAGGTTGGGCCGGCTTTCACTTTTGATAGGTTTCATCCAAGCTTTATTTCCCAAGTCCGGCACTAAGTGGCCTACTGGCCACCCCTTAGAGGTAACGTGCGAGGACACTCCAAGACCTGCATTCTAACCCAGGTCCCTACTTCCCTTTCCCCGAATTCCCCAAAGTCAAAAAAAAAAAAAAAAAAAAAAAAAAAAAAAAGCAGCTTTATTTCCCAAGTAGGGGATATTGGGTACGGATACACCTGATGCTTGCAAGTATTTTATCCATTTGAGTAGGTATCATACCGGAACGGTTAAAAAAGGGGTAAGTAATAGATATGAAAACAACATATTTGTAAGTTTTAAATTAAGTAACAAGTATAAAAGTTTAAAATTATTTATCTGATTTATTTAATTGATTTGTTTAATAGATTTGTTACTTATATAATTGTTATACTTAATATCTATATAATTACAATAATTTTTAAAAATAAAAATAAAAAAATAAAAAAATTTAAAAAAATTAAGTAAGGCATATAAGTTAAATAAATTACATTCGCAATAACAACAACCCCTGTAAATAATAACTTTTAAGTCAAAAAATTATGCATAACAATAATATCTTATATTAGTTATTTTATTTTTTTTAAATCAATTACATAAGTATATATTTACAAGTTACTCGTACTTATTAAATTAAGTATCAAGTATATGTTTTCAAACATTTGAGTAAATACAAAATCTAAAAAACTATACTAAAAAATTTTAAATCGAACGCTACATATAATTTATACATAACCTGTTCCCGAAAATTCCCATTCCTATTCCCAAGTGCAATTCGGGCTCATAGGACTTAAGAGACAACCCACCAAACATTTGAACATATTGGCCCATATGCATTCCAGCATATATATAATTTTGAAGGCACATGTTCATGTATTTAAGGGAATACATAATAAATAAATAAAAGCTGTTAGTTCCAATGTGCTTAGAGGCTTGAAAATCGTTACTTAGAAGGCAAAAAAAACCCAATAATACACTGAAATCTTACTGCTTTAATCTTTTACTTCTTAAATTTTGGTGTTAAATTAATAATCAATTGACAATGAATTTGCAGGCCGAAGAAACATGGAGTTGCCGTTTGTCGCAAGGTACTGTAGCACAATTTCCATTTTCTCTGTAACTTTATATGTCTATGCCTTGGTCAATGCTGGCTCTCAAGGTTTGTTAGGTTTGTGATATTTTTTTTTTATTTTTGAAATCATTTTCTTGAGATGGTGAAATGTGGGATCTTGATGTGTACAATTTAGATAATATTCGCTAATATATAAAGTTGCTTTCATTATTCATTTAAAGATTTGTTTAACTTGAGAATGTGCTCATGACTTTGTGGTTATGTTTTTTGTAAAAAAAATTTTATGTTAACTTTGACAGGTGTAGAGTTCGAATCTCACCTATAACGTTTAAAAAAAAGATTTGTTTAACTTATATATTTAATATATTAATTTAGAGGAAAAGTAAAAAAATTAACATTAATTTTAACATTTATAACATGTAAATATTTTTTTAAAATAATTGATAATAATTTACACAAAAAATTAAAAAAAAGTAATATTAATTTTAACGATCACGTTATATAAATATTTTTAATTAGATAATTAATAAAATTAATATTAATTTTTGATATATATTAACAATAAAAAAATACAATTAAATATATCAATAAAAAAATAAAAATCAACACGTTTTAATATTAGAACGTCTATCATAATCATCCATTAAGTGAATCCTTAATTCAGATCTACTTAATGAATGATTATGATGGAACGTAGTCAAGACCTCTTGATTTTTCGGATTCCCCTATATCAATAACATTTGCTTTAATGACATATATTAAAAAATTCTTTTCATTTAAATTTTGGATTTAAATGCTATTTAATGTGGGAGGGTTCTCAGTTTGGTACCATGACAAAATGGTGGATGAGGAAATATGACCCTCTTCTATTTTCATTTTGTGTCAGACTGAGAATGCATTATTTTCATTTGCTTCTTTATTTTTTTTTAGGAGAGACACATAATGAAACAAACAAATACTAACCTCAACAAAATTATAAATTAGACCACAAAATAATTTGACTCTTCAACCAACAACTTAATTTGCTTATTAATTTTTTAGGAGAGACACATAATGAAACAGACAAACATTAATCTCAACAATACTATAAATTGGACCACAAAACAATTTGACTCTTCAACCAACAACTTAATTTGTTTATTAATTTTTCTTAAGAGAGACACGTAATGAAACATACAAACATTAGCCTCAACAATACTATAAATTAAACCACAAAACAATTTGATTCTTCAACTAGTAACTTAATGGATTAGTAGTATATCTCAATTATAAGTTGGAAGTTTTGAATTTAAGCTATGAGTGTCAATGAAAAAGGTAAATCCATCTATAATTTTTATTTTCAAGAAGAATTTGTTCAAGCAACGTAACATTGAATACCAAACTGTAAATTTTTATTGATATAACTTCTACGTGCATGTGATTATTATATATTTTTTACTTTTTTTTTTTAACAACGTGACATGGGACAAGATTGAACTCAAAAGGGATGCACATTTTCAATGTGACTAATACCATTAGATCGAAGGATCAAGTATTATTATATATTTTTTTACATTAATTGATAATATAAAAATAAAATTGATACTAATTTTATTATTAATGTTACGTAAATCACTTTAATTAAATGATTAATTAAATAAAAATTAATTTTTATTTTTTTCTAATAAAACAATTGTAATAATGTAAAAAAATATAATAATAATTACATCATTAAGAATTCAAGGTTAGAAAAGCTCATAATGTATTATTCCTTCTTTTTAACATTAAAAGAAATTTCATAACCGATTACTTCCTTTAATCTTTTATAGTTGTCATAGTCTTTCAACTTTATATAAATTAACTTGAGAATTTTATGTAACAAATGAATAACAATTAAATTTTTTTTAATTAAATTAGTGAATGTAAGAGTTAAAGTGTAAAATAACATGTCATATACAAACCATTTATCCTAATTATAAAAAATTATATCTATCATTTGCAAAAAAAATAAAATTTTAAATCCCCTTTATTTATTTCTTTGATGGTAATGCCCTTTATTTTTTTGAACTGCAAACAAATAGCCTTTAATACCCATAAATTTTGGCAAGCAATTATTACAGGAGCTGCATGGAACTTTTGACCAGAACTCAAAGCAAGGTCCCAATGGTAAAAATAGCGATTGGGCAAGCCGTCTTCCTTTACTACGTGCTGTCTTTAACCGACAAAAAAACAACTGTGTTGTTGTCTTTTTCAGACATGAAATTCCCACTCTACCCCTCCTTTTCCTCCACTCTATGACCTTTCCTCAAAACCTGGTCCCCAAGCTTTGCCGAAAAAACAAAAAAAGAGTCCACCATGGGAAAAAAACATTAAAGTTTTTTTGAATGTTGGGTGGGAGCCTAAATCCACTAAACTTAACGTGAGAGAATTCTTTTATAAGACAAAAAAGTAATCAATGATCCAACGAAGGGTTGGATCAAATGGTAAGCGACTTGTTTTAGTTTAAGTAAAGTTTCGAGTTCGACCCTTGTGTACGCAGCAGCCTTCGCTGGAGACTCACCCACCATTTTCAGGTGCACGACGCGAGTCGAGTCCAGATTAATCGGGGCGAAGCCCTGGATACCGAGCGGGAAACCAAAAAAAAAAAAATAATAATAATCAATGAAAGCCTTTTATAAGATAAATGTGACTATTAGATTATCAGAATGTTTTTGAAAAAAATAAATTTTATTTATAAATTTGTTATGTAATTTAATATTCACTTAGATGAATGGCATTTTGAATATAATGTAGCTGCTTATTTAAAGGATATTATAGATATAATTTGGTGTTATCGAAACTATAAAAGCATGAATTCATTTTCTTGTCACTCTTGTTATCTGACTTAATTACGTGGTACTTGTAGTAATTAATGGATTTTATTATGTGAAAATTAAGTAACCGATCCAGACCACATGGCCTGGCTGGAGGAAAACAGATAGGCCCTGCAACCTCAAATCTTGTTATTAAAATTCTCCTTAATAATTATACAAAAATATGATCCCATTTCCCATATTTCGTTTGGGTCTCAAAAGTCAAATTAAGTGGGGCGGAGAAAATGTTGATGTTTGTTTAAAGATTTTTCAGAGATTCTATGTGAGTGTAACTAAGTTCTAGGCAAACAATGAGTGTGTCCTGAGCAAGCCAAAAGTGGTGTCATATGGTGTGCATGTGTTGTGTGGGGGTGGGGGGAGCTGCTGCAATTAATACCCATGTTGAGTTTTTTCAAGGGCTTTTGGATTTCTATATTGTAACATCATCATTCATGGCTTTGAAAGCTTGGAGGGAATTTTTTTTATGGGTATAAAGGAACAGCGACTGGGGCTCTGATTTCTTTAATTGGAATGAGTGGGGGGTTGGACCCTTGTGTTGAGTTTGTCTTTGAATTTTGGAATCTTCTTGGTGTGGGTTTTAGGGCAGCTGGAAGAAGAAATATACAATTGCAGCAGGTGTGCTGGAGGGAATTGGAGGGGTTGACCTAAAGCTAAACAGAAATTGGTGTCAGATTTGGGGAATTCTGTGCTCTGGGGCAGGGATCTGGGGACGTTTTTGAAGTGGGTTTATCTTATTTTCTGGTGTTTTGAGGGCTTTTCTCCTGGAGAGGGGTACAGTGTGATTTATTGAATCCTATTGTAGCTTTGAAGCAGTTTTGCTTGAAGTTGAGGTGAGGTTTCTGCATTTTAAAGGCTTCTTACCTGACATTTGAGAGAAGAAACTGTATTTTGCGGCTCGTTTAAAGTTCTGAGCAAACTGGACTGAGCAATTCAGGTTAGTTACTTCTTCTTCTTCTTC